CGGAGAGAAAATGATTACCTATACTATTTTGGCGGTTCCGTATTATTATGATTATCGTATACCCCCAAACCCTAAACCCTCAATCTCTGCAAAGTTTTGAGTTTCCGCAGGTACCATTTTACATTGAAAATGCCACCAATTACAAGACCCCATGCTTAAATGGGTCTGTTCGGTGCGGTTTGCCCATCGCCCTAGGAGATTTTATGCAAAGTCGGTGTGGGTTGTGCTAGCTCTTTGCATCAAATGCTGTGATGATTCTTGAAGGGCCACTGGGCCAGGGTTGAAGTCAGCATTTTCGGTTCTTCGGAAGAGGTTGGCTTGAGCCACACAGCCGGAAGCCTGCAAAGTCTGTACCATTCTATACCCCTCGTCGAAATTATTTGGCAACAAGTAGCGTAAAGCCTGTAATTTCGAGTATGAATCATATCATAAATCCGGAGGCGCCCTAGTGTAAACTAACCCGATCATAGATTCTATAAGCCCGCAGTCTATTCTGGCTCCCAGTCCTTAGGTGTGTTGCAAGGCCTCTTGTGGGGCTCCTGGCACAGCGAAGCCTTTGTATGGAAAGCACGTGTTGAACTTCGGTATCGTGGAGGGCAACCAATGCTCTATGATCAAGTCTTTGTGACGGATTCCTTCAAGAACAAGATCAGACTCCCCCCCGACTTTCCCCAGTCAAGACGGGATCTGTTGGAAGCGCATTATGAACTTGACACAAACCGTACCCGTAGCTTAGGCCTTGGGTTTGATAGCTCTATTTTCATGCAGGGCACAAGAACCGCTGGGCAAGTTCAAGGGAAGTCTACCTACACTCGCCCTTACTTTAGCCAGGTTTTTGCGCACACGTCCAAAGGAAGCCGGTTCAAGGCGTCAAGGCGAGAGATCCCCGGCCGGTTTGCCTCTACCCCCAACTGAAGGTTTCCGAGAAAAAGGGGAACCTAATCTAGCACCCTTAATAGTAGGATCCTTCTTATTATGACCCCAAAGTAAAGAACCATATAAGTTCGGGGAATCAACTCTTCGAAATGATACATGTCGCGCCAAGCAGCAATATCTGTCTATCTCATCCGGGACCCTCTCCACGGGAAACCTTGCAGTCCGTCTGCGACTTCCAGAAACTGACATTGCTCGATCGCAACATGGCTTGAGGGGCGTGCTTCGGAGCTGGGCTCAGGCAGTTTGCAGCCGGGGTTTAGGGTATAATTAGGGATTTAATTAGGGTTTAATTTCCGGTTTAGGGTTTAGGGAGCATCAACAACCTCTATACCATCTGCGAGACCCCAACTCCCAAATCGCCATGAAAAGCTATAATGTCAGGGTCCACAGTGTACGTTTTGCGCGACCACGATCCGCAAAGAAGTCCCTAGCTATACAAGTACCTGAAGGCCAAAGCACATTATGTAGGTACGTGGACTCGATACAACGCTGTAGTAGACCCCAGCAAAACCTACAAAACGGCGCCACGGTGCTGTACCTGAACCTCGAGTCTTCGGCACTTGAGGCAGCTATTCAAGCCCTGTTGCTCATCCAGCAAGGCTGCCATAGCTTCGATGACACCTTCCCAGACATCCAGCAATGCAGGATCCCATGCTAAGGATTTCCGTGCTTTACTACGGATTTCCGTAGTTTACTAAGGATTTCCGTAGTAGGTGTATATAAACGAATGGTCTCCGAATATGACGGCATCGTTGGGAGCAAACCTTCCACGCGAAGGGTGAATCGAGGAATCTTTCGCTTCGGCTGCAAGGGCATGGCGGCGATCCGCGATCCAAACCCCATCCTTCTAACCTGAAACCCGAACTCTCACCTAAACCCCAACAAGCCTCAACCCTTAAATCCCGAACCCTGAACCTGCGATCCTCAACCCTTCACCCCTTGCATCCCCCAATCAGTTTCGGGATTCGAAGCCCCCGGTGAAGTCTTTTCTCGTCCATGGCGGAACCGGGCCGTGAAGCCCAAAACTCCAAATTGCATCAAATTAAAAAGACTCGGAATCCTTAAATACCCTGAGCCCTAAACTACACGACTGTTGCAAATCCCAAATCTCGGGAGCCAGACACATCCTAAACGCAGTAACCCGACAGACCCGAGATGCCGGAAGCCCGGCCCAAAACCCTCTCTTCGTCTCCCAGGCACTCGCAGCAAAACCCCTGAACCTTAAACCCTAAACCCAACCTTAAATCCCCCAAACGGGTGTTCGGCCTAGGCCCGCTGCGATGTGGAGCGCGGGGAGCCGCACGGCCTATCATCCAAAAAAGGGCGGCATCGGTCAGTCTCTGGACTTGTTGGGTCTAGGGTTTAGGCCTAGGGGCTAGGGTTTCATGTTTCCCACCCACCCGGCTGACAGAGTATGAGCCTTTAATGGGCTTGAGGCTTTCTTGGGCCGTCTTCGTGATGAACTTACGAAGACGGAATTCAGGATCGAAGAATTCAAGCTTCTAGCAGTGGAGTACCTCCCTCGGACAGCAACTTAACGGGATGAGTTCTTGAAACGCATCCTCGAAACCCACCCTCAGCCCACCACCCTCAGGCCCCCAAGCTCTAAACCTATCGACACAGCGAGTGTGAGGGTGCTCTATACTATCGGCCCTTCAAGCAACATGCTATCCTGAGGGATGTGGATGTGCAGTAGTAGCATATGCATTAGCCCTAAAGTCATCGCAGGGCTAAATAAAGTAAGTATATGTTACATATCTGTACATGTACATGGACCCGTGTCCAAGCCCAAAAAGAAAGCCAACTCCGGCAAAGACCCTAAATCCTCGCAGCTGAGATCCCCCCATCGCGAGGGGCTTCTTAGGTTCCAAGAGTTTTCATGATATCCCTATCCGCCAGGGTAGTTGAGGGGGTCGAAGCTAAAGCACCCAAAGTTGGAGCCCTAGCAAAACTGGACCAGGGTTGTAGGGTACGAGGCACTGCGAGGAGATACTGTCTCCCATTCTTCCGGTGCCTGATTCTTCCGCATGTAGATTCCGCAAGAGCTGGGCTCGGCTTTGGCCCACCTTGGCAGGGTTTTGTGAGTTTCCTCGGCCTCCCTGTCTTGGTAATCCACAATGCTCGTTAGTTTTAGTAAATGGCAGCTCGATCCCAACAAAAACATTCCAACTCCTTACAAAAAACCAGGTTTTTCGATCCCTAGGTAAGGCCCTTTTTGCTTCTGGGCCCGAAACCCTCCCTCTCTCTCTTTCTGTCTCCCGGGCCCGATACCCGAAAACCCTAAAGGGCACACGGCTCGAAGCTCTGGGGTAGCAATCCCTGGGCCTGGCAAACGCTCATACCGGAGGTCCTGTAAGCTCCTTGGGCCAAGAGAACCCCAAAGCCGATGTTTTGCAGTGTATTGGGGGGCTCCACTTTGGGCGCTCTTGTGCACAACTTGCTGCAAGGCGTGCGCTGACTGAACAGCGTAACCTCTGACCAATCGGGCAATCCAAGAAAGACCTCGGCCTGTGCATTCGCAAGTACTAGTAGGAGTTATAGTAGTCGCCGCCGTGGTCGTAGTAGTACGAGGGAGCATCGTCATGGTCATTGCGGCTGTGGTGTATCAGGGTAAATGTAGGCCCTTAAGCCCTAAGCTGCAAGCTAAAGCCTTCTCAGCACTTCTGCGCTTCTAGTCAAATCGGGCGGCAGCAGAATCTTGACGTCCTGTCGCATCTTGAAGATTCTTCAAGCACTAAACAGCGAACCCAAAACCGATTGCAGCTTCATTTATTGCATCTTGGGGAAATCCTGTCGCAGCGTATCATAGAAGGCCCGGCTCCTCCACTCATATATATATATATATATATGTATATTCATTCTGTTCTATTCGATATATGTAGGTTCCTGGGTGACTGGGTCTATCAAAACTCACCCTTTGTTGCACAGGCTTGTGTGAATCCTGCCAGGATGTGTCGCACCTGTTCTCGGAACAAGCCCTAAAACCCTAAACCCTGAACCTTAAACCCTAAACCTTAAACCCTAAACCCTAAACCTTAAACCCTAAACCCTAAACCTTAAACCCTAAACCTTAAACCTTAAACCCTAAACCCTAAACCTTAAACCCTAAACCCTAAACCTTAAACCCTAAACCCTAAACTTTAAAATCCCGGTTGATGCCTCGGTTCTCTCAGCCCGAAGGTTGAGGGTTTCGGGCTTCGAGGTCTTGAGACTTCAAGATTGTAAGAGGCTGGGACCCTGCTCTAAAAAAAGGGCCTTCATAATAATGAAAAGAATAATAATAACAATAATAATAATAATAATAGTAATAATAATCAACATAATAATAATCAGGTTTTGGGGCCCATTATACGACAATTGTACTCAGCAACCTCCAAATAGTATAGTAATTTGTTTCCCTACAGTAGTCTTGACAAACTCCCATGGCCACTCCTCGCAGTAGTTGATCGTCTCCTCGCCAGGGATGCTCGTAGACGCCAACCAGATTGCGAAATGGAGCGCCCTGTGCCAAATCCGGTGGGCGTTCAAGTTTCAGTAGGAAATCGGGAAAAAGAAGCTGAGCATCAAAAGCCACATGCCGGATTCCAGCATGACCGATGTAGTCAGGCTCCTCACGAACCTGAGCCTTAAAGGGTGAACGTAGTCATGATAAAGTGGGGCGATGTTGATGCTAAGGAGAATGGAGATGAGGACGATGACGGGGTGAGGATGCTGAACACGACGACGGTGGTGACGATGATGATAAGACGGAGGAGGAGGACAAGGATTCAGAGGGACGAACCACCCATGGTGCTCCTGTCTTCCTGTCACTCGGCGGAAGCCTGGTAAGCATCTAGCTGCACACATCATCGAGAAATATGAGTGACAACAAAAGTATTCGTTTAGATCCGAATGCCAAAATACAATATGGACAGCAGTGGAGACATCTTCTACTCTAGTCACGAGTCTAGAGCAGAGATCATGACGAACCCACTGAGAGAGATGTGTGCGAGGATAGGTAAACGACCCAGCAGCTTTTCGATCGCGTCTCCTTGCGACGCTTCTCGTCACACTCTGGCTGGTGATTAGTTGTAATTGGTGTCAGCACTCGTCGGTGCAGAGACAATGCACGATTTGGTCAAATTGAACGTGCTGTACAACTGGGGGCTTGCGAAGACCCCCTTGCCAGTGAACTCACCTGGATCACATGCCCAAGCTTGCAAAGCATCATTCCATGCGAGATAGGTACATGTAAAGGTTCTCGAACTCCTAGATAATACACTACACGAAATATCCTACCCTGCACCCTGATTAACACTCCCAATATCTTTTGAACATGAAAAGGAGTACCCAAGAAGGACGCAGGCACAGTCGTAGAGCGGATCTGCTTTGTCCGAGCGCTGGCGCAAGGCCTAAGGCTTCCACACGTGGGTTCGAAGTTTCAGGCAGGATTTGCTGCATTCCAGGGTTCGGAGCTGTAGGGCCTAGTTTATTACATGTAAAGGGCTTTAACCTACCAGTATATTGGTGACTGTAACCCGGCTATCAGTCCCCTAGGTATGCTACTTAGGCATGCTCGGGCTCTACCTAATTGTGAGTAACCCCAACCACCAAGTAAGGTCTTTGGGGTGCCTTCGGAGGTTTTAGGATGTAGGGCACAAGTCTTTACACTTCAACACCAGCAGCAAGCTTGGTGTCCCGGCAGCAGGCACTTCTCGTATCTTCTTTTTACAACATATGTGGAGCTCCCGGTAATTGACTGCAAGCGGCCCTCTGAACCCCAGCCAGAAGGAGTACAGCACAATTAACCCAGTTGCAACAAGAGCGCAAAACCCCGAGAAAGGGCCCAAGGTCATGTAGATGCTGGCTACGGCATACCGACAAGTTCGCGCCACACCAAACCCGAAAGAGAGCAATATCGAATATATCGTTCTCAAGCCCTAAACCTGTCCGCGCAGCTACATGCAGTACATAATTACGTTGGTGGTGTCTATATAGCTACATCGACCCTTAGACCGCGAGGGTTCTTTCTGAGTCACTCGTTCAAGAGAGGAGCCTGAAACTCTTCGCCCCTGGAAACGACTCACGTCTACTGCAGGGGTTAACACAACAAGAGTAGGTTCTGTGGGCTGCTTGGGCGTATGACACGATAGCATTGCTTCTCGATCGTGAAGGGTTGAAAAGTACTGAAGAACAGTTGAAACCGCGTGTTGAACTTTGATATGAACCTGCTTGGCTATGTAGGGCTTTCCATGTTTTTTGCGGCTTTCGCTTTTTCGACCGGGTTTGATGAAACTCACGGAACCCGAGACCTTTGGCGTACCTTGGGTGCCAGGGCACTTTGTAGTAGGATCCGAATGCGAAGGCCGCTGTGTCCCACACGTTGCCCTTGCACGTCTCCGGGATCCCGCCGCAATCGAAGATGCCCTGCTCTTTGTGCGTGGGTTAGAGCTTCGAATTGTCTTTGCTTCTTGCTGTTGTGCACAGTGTCAGACTTCCCATTGCGCTTGTTGTTGTTTTATCGGACTTGCAACACTTCGACACGAAAGAAATGCCCAAACTCTACATCTAGAGAACTCTTGAGGTAAGGATGCAGGTACCATAAGGGACGGGACATACGACTTCGTGTCCAGACCTGAAGACATTTTGTAGATCCGACATGGCAAGCCCGACGGCAAATTCCGCAGGTTAAAGAGGATTGGACTCTGGCATGCGAGGTTAGGGCTTGGGACTTTTAGGGCTGAAGGCGGTCTGCACAAAGTCTACACCAAATTCGGCAACCTCAGCTGCGACCCTGAACACAACAACAGACGGAAGAATGTGTCAGCAGTCTGTCAGGGCAGTCTTCACGAATTCTGGCCTTGCTGCAGACCTCGCCGATGGCAGCGCCCACATCACGGGCTTTCGCGGCCTTGTCGGGGACGCATGCCTGAGTAGTGGATGAGAAGGGAAGGCGACGCAGGAACCATACAAAAACTGCACAAATACAAACCACCCAAAAGCTTTAAAGTAGACCCTAAACTAAACTCCAATAAGTCCCTGAAACCCAAAGCCACAACCCTTCCTAAACCCTGGCACGCCTGACGACTTCAGGCCAAGAAGCAGCCTCAGCAGGCCAAAAAGCCTTAATTGGTCAACTCGCTTCAGCTTCGGGGCGCGGTGGGACGTTTGGGTTAAAGCTACCTGAACCCCAAAACTATGCAGAATAATGGCCGTTTTTAGGTTTTGGGACATTACTTTACCGACTTCTGGGGGTTTAGGTAACTAAAGCTCTGCACAACCCAAGTGCAGCCAAACCCCAAAAGCACAGCCCCGCAATATTGATGCTGTGGTCCCTAATGGGTACTAGGATCCTTATAAACGACCTAAATGTATACAACAGATATACAAACATGAGCAATTTCCAACCAGCCAGAGGAACCCAAGTTGGTCGGCGAGCGAGCTTTGCCTCACGTGCGGGCAAGCCAGGCATTAAAGGGCTCTATAAGGCTCGAGGGCTTTAAATCGAACGCTTTGGGTTGTTGATACTTGCGAGTTTAGGGTTCGGCTGTTGGAGTTGGCAGTAAACCAACCTAGGTAAGCACGTGAAAACCACAACAACCGTATTACACCCCCGCGAACATCCCGCGAAGCGCAGCAGCCCTTTCAAACCCCACATCCATACAAACCCTACATAAAACACCGAAGTGATACTTACTGAAACCACTACAGTATGAAGTCGTGTAGGAACAACTTCACAAGCCAGTACTTAAGTTGCAAAAACAACAGAACCTTCTCAAACTCGCAACAACCCGCTAAACCACCTACTTCTACAACGCCATTCAGAGAACCCTAAGCATCAAAACTCGGAGTAAGTTGCCCTGCAGCTATAAATCGCTATGAAGCCCTACACAAGCCATAATACGAAACCCTTTCAAATCAGAATGGAGGAGACTGTGAATGTTGCCTGAAGGCTATACTCTTCACCCGACACCCTACACATCCTGCGTAACACCCAACAAACCCAAGCTGCATGAAGGCGCTATAAAACCCCTACCAAAATCTAACAGAAAGCCGGTAGAAACCCTATATGTAACTCCGACAACGCCAAGTTTCCTCAAGGCTCTGTAACCCCAAGCCCTCCAAGCGCCAATAAACTTCAGTTACCTACACACAACCCTTAAACATCCTAGTCAAAAAAAGTTGCTGAAGGCTCGATGCTATAGAACTCAATGCATAAACCTACGTAACCCACGAATTAACCCTAAACTCTAAATCCCGGTACATCCAAATTGCCTGCAGACTCTTGAAGCTGGCTTCCAGACCAAGCATTTGCCGCACAAAGCGCCTGGGCACGCGGCTGAGCACCTGCGACACTTATTTTTCTGGCAGAGATTCTGTAGGGGCTGATTGAAAAGATGCTATAAGGGTTCGTGAATCGAGGCACAAGAAGTTGAAAGTTGAGTCATCATTAGGTTAAAGTTAAAGTCATAGCTGTGCGATCCTGTCAAGCCAAACTAGGCCCAGGCGCCTTACCACCGGTGTGCTCGACCGCCCGCTGGATGAAAATCGACATAGCCACTGGGTCATGGTCGCTCCAAATATGGTAAAATCCATTCTGTGTGATGAAGACTTTGTTAGGGTCGGTCCACCCCATCGGCACAACGCATTCGTGCCTTAAGGTCGACTTCTTCCATATACTTGACCTTACGAACTGTGCCGCCCCATCGAGGTAGCAGTGACGTAGCGGCTTTGGTGTCTCGTCCCTGGCATAAAGGAACTCCCTGAAATGGGAGCCGAAAACCCAGGAAGCTGTATCCCAAACGTCTTTCTTGCAAACATCAGGAATCTTGGAGCAGTCCGCATAGCCTTGCCCGCAAATGTAGCCAATCTTGCCCCCCAGGGTCGATTCCAGCGCAGTGCGGTCCACCGTGCATGCAGAGAACATGTCCCATCTGGCCCACTGCGGATGCCCCACCAACATAGCCTCCAAGTCGCTATAGCTTGTCTGAGGATGCAGGAACAACTCAGCAAACTCCTTGGGAACGACATACGGGACAAAGCCACCTAACTTCTCCACGACGCGCTTCACGAACTGCTGCATCGCTGTGATATTGTTCAAGCCCACCTGGGGGTTTACGGGTTCAGCAAGAAATATCTACCATACTGCAAGCAACTTCGGATACATTACAGGTAGCGCAGGATTCGAGCCATTTGGCGCTTCTGAGCTCAGTGAAACCTCAACACCCAAAATCCTGAAGCCCTCAACTCTCAGCCGAGGCCCCTCAATGGCCCTGGAGTTATTGAAAACCTTCATAAACTCATATACAATCGCGCAAAACCAAAACTTAAACCCCCCCCACCCCACATGCCTAAACCCTGCCTTGAGCTGTAAACACCCCCCAAACTACCCCTCAACTCTAAAAGCCCTTAAACTCTTAACCCTCAAGTCCTCCAAACCCTAAAGTCTAAAGCCCCTGAAACTCTTAACCCTCAAGTCACTCAAACCCTAAACCCTATAAGCCCTGTATTTTAAAGCCCTGCCATCTGGTGGAAGCCATGCTCGCTCACGACCACCTCCTGCGGACTGGGCAAGCAGAGTCGCGTGGGAGTGATCCCAGGTCCTCCGTACGCCTGGGCTTCGGGGAATTTGGGGCCTTAGAGGCTTATAGGATAGGGTTTCGGCGCTCACACTCGGACCTTATAGGGTTTAGGGTTTCGGGCTTCGGGGAATTTGAGGCCTTCAGGGGATCATTAGGGGCTGGGGGTCTTTCCCTTGCAAAGGTTGTAAAATTGTACGCAAGACTTCGGTTGGGGGGTTTAGGATGAGTGGCTGGGATGCACGGTTTGCAGCTTAGGGTGTCCTCCGTATGCCCGGGTTTCGGGGTCTATGGGTCGGGGTTATGGGTGTTCAGGCTGCAGGGCTAACTCTTTACCTTCCACTTAGCGAGGACGAGCCCCTGTTGCATGGCTGACTGAGAGGGCTTAGGGCTCAAGGCTTCGGGCTAGGGTTCAGTTTTGTGTTTTAGGAGTGTGGTGTTGGGGCTTCGGGGTGTTGGGCTGAACTGGCTTACTAAAGCTTCTAGAATCTGACGGCTTTCCTGGGCTCTTGGCGGTCTCGGTGCGGTGTCTCGTGGGTTAAGTTCTCCAAGACTATAGGCTGGTATAGAGATTGATTGCAGTTGCCTTTGGGTGACGAGTTTGAGGAGTTTGAAGGGGCTCTTCCGGAAATCAAAACTCAAGGAGGTGCTGGGCTGCTTCGAATTTATTCACACGAGCGTGCGGGAACCGTTCGGGTTGACAGGGCCTTCGCGATTTGTGGCGAGGAAAGCTTTTACGCACAGGGCAATAACCGCGACTCGTCCTTGTGTTCACTCCGCACTTCATTGCAGGACTGCTGGTCGTGGCACAATTATCTGCAAGGCAGCGCTGTGCTGCGTACGCCAAAATGTCAAACCGCCAATCTAGAGGCATCTGGCACTGTGCGTGTCTGGACGATTTGCCTGGTCTGATTCACAGCCTCCCACCTGTCCCGGAGCATGCCCCTCCTTCCAGATTGCTTAACTGCATCCAGGACGCCGCAGTAAGCTGCTCGGCAATGGTTCGAACTCCAGCATCAAAGATGGGGCTGAGGCATGGGACGGCAGCTTCGAACTCTTCAAACTTCAGTCGATGCTTGCTGCCCGGATCCTGCAATGTTGGGAGAGAAAAACGTGGTAGGAGGCCATACCTGTTCTGTCAGATAGAACAGGTTTTGGGGCCCATTTTACTACAACTATAATAAGGAACCCCCAAAATAGTATGATAGGTAATTATTATGAGGCCCTTACATTACATGCTCAGTCGATGGTAGTCCTGGCAAGAAGGAACGAAGCTGAAGTAGAGTACCGACCACTTTGAACTGCAAAGAGACCCTCGCTGAATTCGAAACCCTTTTTGCAGCTGGGACCCCTGAACGCCCAAATCCCAAACGCGCAAAACCTAGAAGGACCAAAATCCGAAATCCCAAAGCCTGAGGCCTTATGCTGCTGCTAGAATAACGTTGGGGGAAGTACGTACTTGCATTAGTTTTTATGCTCTTCATATAGCAAGTGCTTCGCAAGAGATCGCAACAGCAGGCCCTTAGGAATCGGCTGTCCATTCACGTGTACTCTTTAACATCGCCCCCCAATTAGCCTAGGGTAACCCTATAAACCTAAACCTAAACCCCAACACCCTAAGCCCGGATCAGGACTTGCTCAACAAGTCCACAAAGCCTCCAAGGGCAGGTTGCCAATGGCTCCCTAACTTCCCTCTCCTGGAAGCTTTTCTATGCAACCAAGGCAAACCCTGAAAGCCCGAAGTGCAAGCTTTGGGGATTAGGGGAATAGTGCGGGGGGGGGGGGGGTCCTTCTGCGGGTCGAACATTCCCCAGACCAAGTGGCCGGCTTGATCATACCGGTTCTGAAACTCGAAAAAGCTGATTCCAAGTAGCAGAGAGGAGTTTGCCTGGGTTCTTGTCAAGAAAGTTATAACTAACATAAATGTTCACACAAAGTGTATCGAGAAATAACCGATTTCTTTGGTATGGTCTGGTAACAGAACAAAGCTACTTAACAAGAGTCCAGTCGCAGCAGCAGACAAGATGTCTTCCAAGTCTCCCTGCAAGTTGGGATTTCCTGGATTATGATACTCCGCAACGAAGATGGGCGTGTGGGGGAATATCTCCTCGTAGTACTTCAGGAAGAGCTCCTTCAGAACATCTCGACGGTCACCAAGAGAGGCTAAGGATGCAAACCGAAATGCGCTCGAACTGCGGGTTGTTCTTCAATTCTAAAACCGCCCCTAGAGAGACGACGACTTTTTTCAGAAGATTCAGTGCCTGGATTTCGGCGGAAGGATTGCCCGAGTTGAAGCTGTAGGTGAAACGCGTGTTGAAGAAGTCCGTCAGGTTGTGCTTCGCCTGAATGCCATACCTGAGACTCTCAGCTCAAGGGCATGGACCTTTGGGCAAGCCCACTGGCACGGAATACTTTGTGAGGTCTTTTCCCGGCTCCGAGACCGAAGCAAAAGAGTCCTGAACACCCCACTACATGGGAGTTTCCGAAAATTAGGGTACCTTATTTTGGGGTCCTTATAATAAGGATCCTACTATAAAGGGTACTATCTTAGGGTACCCTATTTTCGGAAACTCCCACATCCTGAAGCCTCTGACTCTGTACCAAGTCGAGCATCCTATCCGGATGCAACAGCGCGTGTCTGAGAGTCCACAGCTGGCCCAAGCCGGGACGGTCTCCGAATTCCGCACAGCGTTTGCAAGACGCGAATGAAAAGGTTACCTGGGTTGAGACGCCACGTTTATTCTCTGTGTCGCTGTTGGTATTCTGTGTTCTTCTTTCCGGTGGCAGACCCGTGCCATAACTGATGGAAATCATTCATGACTCTCGCTGCATGCTATCAGTTTGGCTTGTGTGGCCTGGTGTTTCAGCACACCAGTCAGTAGGGAAACGATGCGAATATTCTGCCGCTAGAACTGCAAGGGCTTTCACAATGGAGCCTGATGGGCATGGGATTCCCTAATGGGGTCGTTGTGGCCAATCGTATTTAATCCATGCGAATCATACCGTTCTATAGACACTTGTTGGTATCTTTGGATCTCTCTCTCTCTCTCTCTGTCCCACGGACTCAGTCACCTGTCGCACCCTATAAACCTTAAGCCGGCCAGAACCATGATAAAACTTAAAGCATAAACCTCAAGAGCCCTCACATTGATGCAGGAGTCCCGAACCAACATCCTGACTCAAACCCCATGTTCCAAACCCCCTCTGGGCTTGATTGAAATGCCCTAACCAACCCCCAAACCCCAAACCACACCCAAAACCCAACACCTCAAAACCCCAACCTATGGCCTGATCACAGCCAGGGGCTGTCAAATTCGGCTTGGGCCCGACGACACCCATCTCCTCCTCCGCCGTCAGCACGCCATCCTTGGAGAACCCCCAAGGAATCGCAGGATTTTTCCCCTCCTAAGGATGTTTAGAGTTCAAGGTTCCTCCCCGTAGAGGGTCCCCTTTTTCTTACTATGCAGTTATTTAATAAGGAGACCTCAAAGTAAAAGGGGCCAAAGGGTATTACTCAGACTACTCGAGAACCTGGAGTTTTTTGGGTCTAGGGGTTTGGGGCTCAGGGCTTTGGTTTTTCATGATGCCTTTGGGGTCGAGGGTTAAAGGTCAATTGCCTACAGCTGCTCGTGTTTTTGGTTAAGGCTGTAGGTTTTAGCTGCAGGATGATCGCAACGCTTTGAAGTACGTTGCGGCCGTTGCTGGGTCCAGCGACATCCGTGAATCCGTCGTCGCTGCACCTTCCTCGCGGCCCCATCGGCCGCAACAACTCGGTAAGCATACGCTCAAGACCTACAGTGCAAGCACTTATTCATCATCAACCTTGGATCTGGCACACCTCTTTATGAAGACCATTAAAGTATTTCTGAGTGTCGATGGCGGTTACTATGGCTTTGGCGAACTTCCGCGGCTCATTGAGGCTCGGAAGCTTGAGCTCGGGTTCGTTCACAACGATGAAGTACTTGATGGCTGGGTGATAGCTTCCTCGGCTGACGGAAAGGTCCAAGGTTTGCAATGCTTTGCAACACAGACACTAGCGTCTCTCAGTCATGTGCGTTTGTGGTGTCGCCAGGTGATGCAGCTTTAGATGTTTTTGGGGTGCCTTCCTGCCAAAGTGGATCCGAAAACAAACGGCAATTGAGGCAAAGTGGAAGTGTCCGTGGTTGGTCTTTGAAGTCAGTCCGGGGAAATACCAAAATGTGCAGAAAACCCTGCCCGAGCATCTATTGGCAAGGAGGAAGCCATTCTCCAAGTTCTTCTTGTAGGCACTCACTACGCCTTCTGAGCACGAGAAGTTGCCGCCCTTGCACTGCACTGTCTCAAAGGCCTTTATCAGGGACCAAGGTGCGCTTAACTCCACGCCCTAAATGCCCAAGACCACGAGGAACACTGCAACTTCAACCTGCTCCCATGTGCTTTTTCGAGCTCCGTGCCTTGTCTCCCATCCCTGGCACCACATCCAAGCCTAAGCTTCTTGCATGGTCCAGGAAGCCGGCATGATGCAACTCTGGGTCGTTGCCATAGAGCCGGACGGTGTTAGCTCCTAAGCTCCGGATGATGCTTAAGTCACCACGGCCATTGTCTCCCCAAAGCGGCTTCGCCGCATCACAGAAGTAGTCCTGGTGCTTGTTCCGCTGAGCCGAAGTGAAGGGCGATGGGCCGTAGCTGACCCCCTTCATCGGGATCTTCGCCGGTGCTGCCGGGACCTCGTCGGGCGAGGGGTCGGCGGGCACGCGGCGGCCCCGGTATTGCAGCAAATGCAAGTTGCCAGCCTCGGCCTCACATCTTTCGGTCCCTGGCTGGCAGTCTAGGAATTTCAAAGTCTCCTCTGACAGCTGCAGGCTGGATGTCGCAACCTCCACGAGTAATAGCAAAGCAGCACACTTCGGCATGGCTTGCCGTGGCCGAGCAGCTTCGTGCTCGGCCGTCAAAAGGCCTCTTTTGTATCGCTTATGACTGGAAAAGGTACGGCGACGGAACACATGCAAACACCCGCTGCAATCGTTCATGCAGTCAAGCTCTGTGCCAATGCCTACCTACCTGCGAACCCCTAGTCTTTCCCCGTGATACGAATCCGGAGCCAGGTACAGGACGACAGGCCCTGATCTCTGAGCTCTGAGATGAGGCCTTGCCGTCAAATATCTGCCCTTGTACGGGACAAGGTCTTCATACCTCAGCCCACGGGCGCTGCAGAATTCGGGACACCAGCATTGCACTTAAGAGGGCATGGATCTCAATTTTGCAAAGGCTCGGGGCCTAGCAGCAGCTTGCACAAGGTTTGATATTGATTGTTCACAACTGTGTCGTCCAGGTGGCTGCCGCTTCGTCAGCGCGATCGACAAACGGCCAGACCGGCATCACCCACACCCAGTCGATCCCTCGCTGAACTTTCCCAGCTCAATACTCAAAAAACTCCAACCAAGAAGGTGCGCAAGCCGTTGCAATTTCACACCCCGGAGTTTTATGCACTAAACCCCAAACAAAAAGCCCTGAAGTCTCCGCTTGCTGCATGTGGGGGCACTCCTCCTCGAGCTGCTCCCGTAGAACATCCTTTGTCGTTTCTCTCTTCGCACGGCTTGGCTTTTTTGGGGCCGAGGCGGTTGGATGGCATGCCGGGAATCGGAATTCCCATGCCACTCCTCGAACATACTGCATCTTTCCTGCAGGAACAATCCTTGTAGAACCCTGCAGAAACCCTGGGAGTGTCAGTTTCAGCGATGGGGGCCCAGGTTTCGACTTACGGTTTCAGGGGCCAGAGCTTTGGATAGGATTTTTGCTGACCTCAGTACAGCTTGCCAACAACCCGCCCAAGAAGCTCCCAGACCTAAGTAGCCGCAAGCAGATGACGCAGATCTATTGCATGGCCATGCTGGGCTTTATTTAAAATATTGAGGGATTCTCAGAGTAGAGTGTTTGCGGCCTAACACACCACCGCGCTACTCTGCGGAGGAACCCTTAAAGAGTGATCTAAGATTTCCAGATCCTTCGCTATGTTTGGGTGGCGGTGGCTACGAGCTTCAAGTTTGGAGGCTCGGCCATTTTGCCTTGAAGAAGCCCCTGGCTCTAGATTTCGGGTTTAGGGGTTTCGGCGCTCACACTCGGACAATCCAGGCGAGGCATATGGTTCGGAGGTCTGCTGAGTGAGACATTATTCTAACGGCAGGAGTCATGATTTGATTTCACTAAACATAGCAATTGCAACACGTAAACTAACTGTACTCCAAGAGACTGTATCCCGTTCAGGATCCTACTCCATAGGGTTTAGGGTTTAGGGCCTGCATATCCACAAGAATTGTGAACCTCTACTGGAGCCCTCGAAGTTCAGGTTCAGGATGTAGGTTCGACTCCCGAAGCTCAAGGAACGGCCACGTTTGAACCCTAGGCAGTAGCACAGGGTTGAAGGGGAGCGTTTTTTTACAAGGACTTAACTTAGACTCGGAATGTTGAGTAACTGCGATTATGGTGAAATACTAAGAGCCATAAAAGGATACTTTTGCTAACTGCTCTAGTCTCCGTGTATTGTGTTGTGCTTCAGGCTTTACAGCCTAAGCCCTTCTTGCAGCTGGGCTGCGAGTGTCAGCCAGCGACTCCGAAACACTGAAGCTCGAGCCCCTTAGCCCTACACCCCATCAGCCCCTAGCATTCCTGTGAATTACACAGGCTCGCCGCGGCCTTTTCAAAAAACCTTCCCTACACTTCGATTAAAAAGTCCTTATTATTGGAAGCCATGCAATACGCGTTGCCCGCAAGCTGAGCCGAGCGACGGGCAGGGCCTGCGAAGGTTCGGCTGGCCTCGGCGGAGGTCGATCTAATCCATTCAAGGCTCAGAGATTGGGTTTACAGTTTACAGGGACTTTGGGTTGAAGGTTGCAGTTTGGGGTTTGAGGGCTCTGGGTTCAATAGGCAGAGAAGGCAGTAGGCCAGAACTAGGTACCGTAGAGGTGTTCGTTGAACAGTCCTGAGACTTCGTCCTCGACGCAAAAATGAGTACCTGCAGGGAAACTCCCCTACTGCAGTGATCGAATTGCAGTGTGTTTGCAGGAGCTAGGGCTTGGGGCCCCCCCGGGAAAAAATGCTGGTGGTCGCGGCAGTTCTTGGCCACCTATACTAGACCCTTTTTCAGCTGGCTCTGCATAAGTGCCGCTACCCTTAACCCTAAACCGTATGAGCCTTAAAACCGCATCCCGCCCGCTGCTGAGGCAAGAGGCTCCACTCCCTGAAGAGCCATGGAGCTGGTGGAGCCCAGCTTGCAGAGGCTGATTTGAGGAGCCTCCAGGTGTTACAGTTTCGTGTGTGTGTGTGTGTGTAAATATAAATAAGTATATATATTAATATATATATATATATATATATATATGTGTGTGTGTGTGTAATTATGTATGTATTGAACAGAGAGTGAGAGAGATAGACCTCGGAGAGACAGAAACTAAGAAAGAGAGAGAGGGAGAGAGCCAATAGATTGGATTACTTGAAGGCTCAAGGCGTGTGGGCCTAGCCCTGTGGATCAAAGTCTGAGGTTGGAGATGGTTTGAATGTCGGAAAGCAAAGCTCCCAGAGCTGCATCTGAGAATCAGCAGCAAGGGCTTTTGCAGGTACACCCGCAAACCTGCAGGCATCTATAAACCCTCAACCGTACACATGAAGCGCAACCAGATAGATGAAACATAAGAACCCGCACATATACGCCGAAAAACGCTGCACCTTCAGCCACAGGTCCTTAACTCCGAAGACCGGAATGCTCGTTGTCTCTGAAGCCTCCTGGTCCTCGTAGAATTTTCGCACTGCCGCTATGAGCTGTAAACCTCAATCGACGAACAGAACAGCTAAGGGAATTTTGCTAGATTCTCAAACTATGGTACTGGACAGTGCGGGATTGTCTCCATCAGCAGCATCACAGGGTTTCAGGCCTGCAGGTCTGAGCTACATTTCTGGGGTCAGTTGTGGGGTTGTTCTCGACACGTTTTGACCCTCGGAACTTGATGGACGAAGCGCGGGCTTAAGTATGCAGGCAAATTAAATACTCGCACAATCCTTTTGCAAAAGGCAACCGAAGCCGGTACCTGACCTGGTACACAGTTCGCTGACTTGCGACTTTCCAAAGTGAAGGTGTTCCAAACCTCCAAACACCGAAGAAGTTGCTGACATCGCTGCATACATACTTTCCTCCACTTTTGCAATCTTCGACGCCGAGCACACATCGAGATGATCATGTACCTCAAACCCTAAGCCAGCATAGACCCGACATGGGCCCCGTATGTCTGTGTATGTGTATGCATGTATCAACCGGTAAAATTTGAAGCCTGCTGGGAGCCCTCATTTTGCCAATCCCCCAACATCCCTGCTTCTGTCAGCGGCAAGTCCTGCAGGGATGGAGAATGTACGGGCGGTAAGTTAAGGCTAACCTGTATTCCCAAACCCTAAAAAATTGTAGTAGGTTTTGACCCCACCCCTAAACCAGTAGGTTCTTAGATCCCCAGGAAGAGGTTAGACACACAAGCTGCGGGATTTCCTAGGACAAATTATACCCGAAGCCGCTAAAACTGAAATTTGTCTGTAGTTGATCGCAATGTCCAAAACTGCGCATATGGTACCATGTTGCAGCATATTTATAACCTTTATTTCGATAAATACTTGCTATGCTACCTATATTTCTGCGGGATGCTACCACCCGGGTCACGTGGAATCAGTCGAGGCACATTTCAGATGTTGCGGTAGGTCCTGTCAAGGAGACTCTCCTCTCAGCCTTTTCCGGTCTTCCCCGGGGTTTCGGCGCTCACACTCGGACAATCCAGGCGAGGCATATGAGGGGGTTTAGGGTTTAGGGTTCCTTTTTGACAGCATATCTGGGCGTCAGGTTTAGCCTGGACTCACGGGGCAGACGACTGGCTTGTGCACCAGAAAAACACCGAACGCATAACGGAAGGCCAGTCCAGCCGATCGAAGCTGGCGGACACCTCAGGAAGCAATGCTCAGCCCGACGCAAGACAGTACTTGCGCACAAGACATCTGTTCGGTATCCAAGCTGCTTGGTGGCGGGGCGGGACTATGCGGGATGTTCTGAGGACAGCATCAACCACTCAACATCACTCAACACTGCTGTATAAAGGAAGCGGGAAGCGAAGACCAGTATTCAGATGGAGCCAGCGGCCACACTCTTAACCCTGGGATCCGTGCCGCAGCATTGTTGGTGCTGGATCCGTGCAAATTTTCCTCGGCACGCTTGAAGAGATTGCTTGCTGCAGAAACGTGTCAGGATCGCATAAAGTCCATGCAGAAGTGCACCTGGTGAACCACTACTACTACTACTACTACTACTACTACTACTACTACTACTACTACTACTACTACTACTACTACTACTACTACTACTACTACTACTACTACTCTTTGCTACGGCATCAGAGAGAAGATGCCTGGTTTATTGGGAATTCGCAGCACGAGCTGTCCTGCACTCGAAATATGTTCAACGCATAGCTTAAAGGAATCGCGCGAGGGCATGTAAAGTCTCAATACCTCGGCAGACCTTATCCGGGAGCACTGCGCCCGGCTCCTTTGGCCAGGCTCGGTAAGGCAACCAAAGCGCTGCCGTGAGCCTATAGTGCTATGGTTTTATTTTCTCATAACCGAGTTGCCCGGAATGAACGCCGGGTGAAGCTTTTGGAGAGGCTTCGCAGCGCCGTGCTGGCCGAAGGCCGGCGTTGCTGTGATCTGGCCCTGAACACCATGGAGTTCCGGGCTTTGGGCTTTATAAGGCTCAGGGCCATCGGTATATGGCTCTATATACATATATATGTATATGTATATATGTTATGTAGATATGGATACAAATAGTGTTGGTAGATGCATATATATATATATATATATATACGTATGTGTAATTATTTGTCTTCTATTTGCATCTGCATGTATCTGCGTATTCTTTATGTATTTACGTGTTACTTTATGACGCATTCAAGACAAACACATGAGTACATACATATATATATATATATATGTATATATATATATA